GATAAAAATGTTGGCAACGTGATCCCACAGCTTACACCTACACCGACTTGATCTTTTCCCCACGTCAGCCCCAGAGAAAGGAGAATTTTAAAAAAAAATTGCAGAGCTGATTGACAGTCAATACCGCAGCCCCGACCCGCCCCGCCCCCTCCTGCTCCTCTCCCAGTGCTCCCCGCGCCCGCAGCGGCCGTTGGATCGAGCGCGAGCCGGCCCGAGACTCCGCTCCCTCTCCCCCCCCGCCCCGCCTAGCACCTGGGCGTGCCTGGCGCGAAGGCGGCTGTCGTGTGCCGTCGGGAGCGCGCGCGCTTGGCCTGTCACTTCACCTCAGGGCGTTGTGTGCGCTTCCTCTGCCCCTCAGGAGGATCTTTGGGGTGGGGGGTGGCTGGGCGGCGGGGTGCAGGGGCTCCCTCGAAGGCCTGGATCGATCCCGACCTAGGGCTTTGGATCGGAATCACAGAGGCAATAGATCTGAGGGTGGGAAGGACCTCGGGGCACCCTGACCCCGTCCTCCCTTGGTGGGACAGCCCGAAAATGGCTGTTTTTCCACAGGTCAAATTCACATTGCCACGAATCCTGGAAAAGAAAGTTACTCTGGGCTACAGAAACCCAAAGAAATACTTTTTCAAAAACATTTTTTTTCTCACGTCAGTTTTTGTGGTACTGAATTTTGCTTTAAGTGACTGAGCCATTCGCTGAGGGTTGGAAATCCTTTGGTTATTCAGAAATTTGAGGTGTAAAGGTGTCTTGATTGACCCTTGATTTTTCCATTCCTACTCCTACTATTTTGAGAAAGACCTTTATCACTTCACACCTGGCTTAATTCAACAGCCTCTTAAGATTACTATTAGTCCACTTTCTCCCCATTCTAATCTTGTTTTATTGCCAAACTAATATTCCAGAAAACATTGCTTTCTTTCATACTTATGTGCTCAAGAACCTAGTGTTTCCTCATTTCCTATTAAATCAAATCCAAACTCTCCCTTCTCTAGTTTTCAAGGTCCTTTATGACCTTGCTACACCCTACCTAACCCTACTTTCCACAAAGTTACACTCCAGTCAATTTTCAGAAATGAATGTACATAGTTATTCCTATCTCTTTTTTCATTGCTGTTTCTAAATATCTCCCCAACCTCTCACCTCTGGAAAGTCTAACCATTCCAACTAGCTCAAGCCTCATCCTCTCTCTGAGGCCTTGTCTCTTTTACTGCAGTTTCTGTTTTCTCCTTTTAATTTTACCATACAATTTATTATTTAACCTTTTTATAAGCGTTTTGCATGTAAACTTGTTTTCTAAATTAAACTCAAAAGCTCCCCAATAACAATTGCTTCTTCTGCTTCATCTCCCACAAGGTCTAAAAATTTATTGGATATATTTAATTTGACTGATGAAATGAAGGCTTGTTTTGCCATATGTATTTACTGTCTTAGGTTACTCTAGAAGAATATCAGGGGTGGTGAACCTGCAACCATGAGGCCACTGTGACCCTCTAGGTCCTTAAGTGCAGCCCTTTGACTGAATCCAAACTTCACAGAACAAATGCCCTTAATAAAAGGAATACTTCTGTAAAACTTGGACTCAGTCAAAAGGCCACACCCAAGGACCTAGAAGGCCACAAGTGTGGCCTGGAGGCAGAAGGTTCTCCACCCCTAGTAGAGTTTTGTGCCAACAGAAAAACTTGTTCAGCCAAATGACTCAAAAGCACAAATTAGGGACTAACTTTAACATTTTAGTTTTGCATGTCTGAAAAAATTGACATTGGTAAAGATGGCTGGACCAGTCAACTCCAAAGAAATCTGTGCAGAGGTAACACACTCTGAAAAGCTAAGAGTGATTGTTTTGCAAGTTAATTCAGGAAGAGGAATACTATACTGAAAAGCAAACTCCCAAACCAAGGACATTACTAAAAAAGAGGTGGTCAAGAAAAACTATTGACCCATGTCTTTCTCATTTTTATTAATAATGAGAACTATGTCATATGCATGAAGGTTTCCTTGTTGAAAACAAGGGAACAGGCAAACTTTAACAAATTATTTTCTGCAGACCACATCTCTAGTCTCATGATTGAATGAAGTGTGGAGAAAATCCAAGATCTGGCATTCTATGGATTACACATTAGTTTTTAACTGATGGAGTAAAAACAGCTTTTAAAAAACTCTTATATAAGATCATATAAAATTCCTTGACAAATTTAACAAGAGAACTAGGTGACTCTTGGATTATCAATATCAAGTGAAGTATATAACAGTCCGATCAGATCAGATTTATGGCAGGAAGGAACTCATTTTACAGACCAGGAGGTTGAGGGTCTAAGAGGTGAAGTGACTTGCACAATGTTCCAAAGTATAAGATGTATGCTCATGAAAACTTTTGCCACTGTTGTAACGGGTGTCCTGCACAGGGTCCAAATGAAAGAATTTCTTTTGGTGAGGTGCTAGAAATTCTACTTTCAGACCATAAAGTACTGATTCCATCAAATCCCAGAACATTATGGGGGCTCCTTAGCAAGATCCATGATCACTCAAGAAACTGGCATAACAATCTCTAAGTGAAAAACGAAAATAAATGGAAAATGTCTATTTTCCACATCTATGTGCATATGAATAATTAGTCCCATTGGGTTATAGCCTATCCGAATACACATATTTAGGACTGGCACTACAGAAGGGCAATGAGTGGGGTCCAGAATTGAATAGGAGGAAGAGCCTAGGCTGGATTACATTTGGGGAATTGTACAGTGCTAATAATCTCAAGGTCCTCCCTGATTAAAAAACAAATAAACAGAACAAACAAAAATTCCTACTCATTTCCAGGTAACATTAGATGGTTCTGAATCTTGCAACACCACAATAGCCAACAAATCAATGTTGCAGTTAGGTGGATAACATACATCAACATGTATTTCTAGGATAGACTAGCTGAGATCAGAATTAAATGAAAGAGAAAGCAAGTTGAATTGCCTTCAGGAATTTGCAAAGCCCCTTCAACAACTCTAAACTTCTCCTAGCAAATAAGACTCTTCTTTCTAATATCAATACTGGTGGTGCTATTTATGGCTGGGGACTCACAGAATCCTAGTCTTTCAAAAATTTTAAGTGAGTACCACTTAGAGAGCCATGGAAAAGAGTGTGGTGAGTAAGTACGTTGTAACACAACAAATAACTATGAAGAACTGAATAAAAGGATGTAATGAAAGAAAACAAATGAAAGAGTAAAAAATAAATAGTAGAGAGTCTAGTGCTCCACCGCTATCTGTGATATCATAAACACAAAGAATACTCTCTGCACATGGACCCACTTTGGTAAACATGTGGGAAGACATGTTTAAGAATCTCATAGGATAGACAGGCTTGGGTGTGATCTGCACTTAGGAGGAAACATTTACACTGATGAGATCATATCTATTTGAATATTCATTGTACCTAGTAATACTTTGATACTTCAGTAAACATTTTGCTATAAATGCACATAAAAGCATTTGCTTCTTGCAAATAACACATTGCTATGTTTTCTCACACAGTAGCATGTTCTTTTTATAATATATACTTATTTATATTCTCTACATCTCATAGTATATTTACCGTGCTAATTTTAATAAAATGGAATATTTAACTGCTATTTTGAACAAGTTTTCTATTGGTAGGAATAGTTTTTGTCTACTCCAACACATTTTTTATTAATGAATATATATATATTACTAATTGATTATAATTATAATCGAGTATAAGAAGAAAAAAAAACAATGCAACGAAAATGTGTCAGAATGAAATGCTAATGCACTGCTATAAAGCTGGTTTTCAAGTATCATATTACTAGTTATTAGGACTGGGACACAGAAAAATCCAAATATAGAATGCTTCACTTCGGCTTTATCTCCTACGTACAAAAAACCCTGATGTCTAACAGTCTAAAATGGCACATAAGACCATTTGATTGGGCTAATTTTTTCCTGTACATAAATTTTAATAAGGCACAGTGCATAGAGGGTCAGCCTTAAAAATTACTTTATGTCTTCTGTTTTGCTCCAAGATTTCCTTAATTCTTTTTTATTCAAGGGGCATTTCATACCCTCTAGACCAATGTTATGTACTTAAAATAGTTTTACTAGTGAACTGATCTGTATATCTTACCAAGTAGGAGTAAAGAATTATAAGGTTTGTTTACCAACTCTCTCACCTTCCAAAAGAGTGAGAATTTTGCTTTAAAGCAAGTTGCAAGAATTTTGGATTCTAAGAATATTGCTCTACATGTCGTAGCTACTCCTAGATGGCATGTATGAAGAATTGAATGAACAGATTTAAGAGTTGTATGACTTAACACCTTTAATCTGAGTAAGGTATTCATAGTAATTAACATAAACCACTCCTTACTTTGCTCTAATCTGAATTATCCTATTGTAAATGACTTACAAAATAATAATCTTAAAAATATTTTTGTGCACGTAATTATGAAAAAATTTTCCAATTCAAAAAGTGCAAATCTTTCAAGAAACCATAAAAAACATCTTATCAGGGTCCTAGGACAAAAATGAATATCTCATATTTAAAAGATGTTTTTTCCTTCAACTTATTAAATTCATTGACTAGTAACAATCTAATAATTTATTTTCCTAAGAAAGCACATTTTGAAATTATATAGGCATAATATTGGGCAGTTATGTGGTGCAGTGAGTGGATAGAGTGCTAGGCCTGGAGTCAAGAAGACTCATCTTCAGGAGTTCAAATCTGGCCTCACTTATTACTTGTGTAGCCCTGGGCATGTCACTTAACTTTGTTTGTCTCAGTTCCTCATCTGTAAAATGAGTTTGAAAAGGAAATGACAAACCACTCATATCTCTTTGTCAAGAAAACCCCAAATGGGGTCATGAAGAGTCAGACATGACTGAACAACAACAAAAGGCATAATATTTATATTTAATTTTAGTTTGTTAACAATAGGTCACAAGGTTAACAATAACTTTATTTTGTTTTTATATTACATACTAATTGCATGACTCGTATTCTGAAAAACATTAGAATTCTACCTTTTATTGCCTTCTCTTAAAAATACATAATATTGCACTTTCATTTTGGGCAGTTTAGTTTTCAAAGAGTGGCCAAATCAAAACAAATTCTGCAAGACGTTGCAGTTTTCATTTTGATCTACGATAAACAAAAAGCTTCTGTGTAAAAGCAGAATTTACAGTAGTGCCAGACAAAACAAATATTTACAGACAGTGTAGTTACTAAATTATTACTTCTACAGGAAGATACAGTGTTTGAAAGCAATTAGTTTTAAGATACCATTACTTTGAATGAAACTTTTTTCTCCTTTTCATTCTGCAGAGCATCTTTTTAACAAATGTTAAGTATTTTTGATTACTGTTTCAAAAAAAAAATTTTGAAAAAATGTTCAAAGAATCTGAACTGTTATGCTAAGTCAGCCCTTTCATAAATTATGTTTCTCATATACTTTGAAGAACTGTTTGCAAGATATTAAAAAAAAAGTTCTCCCCAACAGATAATTAGGATTCCAAGCTTCTAAGCAGTATTTTCTAGTTCTTCTGGATTTGTAGTCAGTTTGTGCTGGAATTATAAGTGAAAGCCAGCATGCTAGGGGATGGAGATTAAACGAAGGCCAAATTAGCATGTGTTTTTCATAATTGTTAAGTTACATATGATTATTTTACTCAAAATGCTTTTGTAATCAATCCAGCAAACTACAGAGAAAGTCTGCATATTTGAGACAATTTTTGAAATTTCTAATTATATGAGTATTCTAACAAACTTAATACTTGTATGTAACTCCTAATTAATACAATGGCTTTGAAAAAAGTTATTTACATATTTTCAAAGCAAATGCTAACATTCAGAATTAATGCATACCGTACTAAAGATGCTGAAGACAAAAAACAACCTGAAAACAGAGAACATACAAATTTTAAATGCATGATACAGTGCACAGAAAAATGAATGTTTCAGTAATACATGCACAAAATCCACAATACTTGACTGTCCTTTAAATCTTTGGAACGCTAAAGAAATGCAAGCAGTTTATTTTCTGTTTCTTGCATGGAAAAAAAATCAGATGCTAATTTGAACTCCAATGTATTAAAGACAAGGTATTTTCTGTGTTTTTTAATCTTTAAAGATCTGTAGAATGAAAGGACATCAAAACTGTAAGTCAACATGTTTTGTTAACTCTGCACTTTCATTTTAATACTGTCAAGTATGTCAAATTTCAAACAGTGATTTAACATTGCAATATGTTATTTCTTTTCCAACAACAACAAATACAAAAGATAATTGCATAGTTATGACATAACACTAAAAATCACTATGGGGATGATGGACTGAATTCAAAAGCAATATACTGAGCTGTTGGAGGTGTTGAAAACAGCTAATCCTGGATAGATACTAATGTAAACCTATAAGGAAAAACAACAGTAAACAGCAAACATTTTTTGCTTAAAAACGGGTCAATGTAAAGAGTAGCTTGTAAAGTATTTCTTTAAAAATAATCTCAATAAGCAGGAGTAACAAAGTTTAAACTCAACTTTCTGAAATGCCCTATTTTTTTTTCATGTACAGCAGAAAAAAAGTTTTCAAAGATTCCAACTTTACATATAAAAATGAGGCACTAGTTAAGACACATTTTGGAATACTTTCCCATATAGAAAAACTTCACTTTGATCCTTCGGGTTTTTACTTCCTTGGTGTTTTCTGAATGTTGTCTCTTATAAAAACAAATCTTCAGAAGGAGGTGCATAAGAGAAACCAACAAATGCATCATCTGCCTCCAAAACACTGGCATTCACTATGGAATAGTCAGAAGATATACAAACAGAATATGGAACCATTTCTTCTGTAAAGGCTGCATCAAAGTTCCTGATGTCATCTGGTCCAACCTAAAATATTAAAAAGATATTGTATTTATCTAATCTTCATTTACTTTAATCATTTCATTAGACATCTAACATTTATTTGTAAATTTCTTCTTTATAAAGAAATGCTTCTGAAAGTTGCCATGCCCTTCTCTTTTTTCAGTTGCCATACTTTCTTCTTTTCTTGTATTATCTTTTCCCTACTCTACTTTTTCACATTTTATTTTGACAACCTTATCTGCTTTGAATAGCAACACTTATACTAGAATTCAGGATCCTGACAGCAGCAACAAGCATAGTAGGATAGTTTTCTGCACTAATTTAACTAGGTGTTGGCCATAATATTTAATGTATGAGATATGACAAAGTGCACTGATGAAACTTAAACCCCTATTTTTATTAATGAAATTGGATATTTCCATCCTTAGGCAGCTGAAAAAGTAGGTGGGGAGGAAGGAGCTTAGTGGGATAAATCCTACTGACGCTATGGAAAGAAAATTGTTTATTATAATAATGAAAGCAATGGGGGATAAAAAATATACCATCAATGCCTTCCTTTCAGTTACAATGAGGGGCTAAACTAGAAAAGAAAAAAAAGATTTCTTCATTAAGATTGTGATAAGAAGGTATACAGGAGGTCATCATTATCATGTTTAATCCTACAGGTACAAACACACAGATTAAAACAGTTATACTGACAATTTTCACAACTGACAATAGATGGCAATGTGTTACTTTTTCATAAAATAATAGTGTTGGCCTATCTAGATTAGGTTTCTTCATCAAGCAAATGTCTAATTACCAATAATAATAATGACGATAAAAACATTTATATACTATCTACTTTGTGCCAAGCAATTGGCTAAGCGAATATGATCTTATTTGATCTTCAAAACAATCCTGGGATAGATTCAGAATTTTTACCTAAATTATCTCCAAGCCAACCTAGGATTTGCAGGGGGAATAAAAATCTAACATCTACCCCCTGTTTTTCTTGAGGGCAGCTAGGTAGCAAAATGAGGAGAGCACTGGAAATGGAATCAGGAAGACCTGATTCCAATTCTAGCCTCAGACTAGCCATGTGATTGGGCATATCACTTCATCTGTTTGTTTTGTTTTCCTCAACTGTTAAATGAGGCCAGTAATAGTACCTACCTTGCAGGATTGTTGTGAGGATCAAATAAGATAATGTTTGTACAGTACTTAGCACAGTGCATGGCGTATAGTAGGTATTACATAAACACTTATTCCCTTTGGTCCTCTTCCCCCTCCTTTATCTACCTCTCTCCACATTGCATTCCCCCTCCATCATCACACTCGATTCTCTAGAACTCAATCTCAGGCAAATACAAACTAGCTCTAAGATTTAAAAATGGCTTTCTAATAAAAGTGAAACATGAATTTCCAGATTTTCCAAACCTGGCAATAAGATAAAAAAATATGAAAACAGATTTCTAAAAATGGATGGTTTTTTATTCTCTAGAACTCTTAAATAAAACCATGTTTTTATTATACAAACTTTTACTCATTTTAAGGGTTGTTTTTTAGAGGGCAGTATAAATTAATGATTTGCTTTTCATTCCCTCTCTGAACTAGCTGATTCTTTATTCCGGTTTTTACTTATTCTGATTTTTATATTATAATGTTCCCCATTTCCACACTCCCAATTCCATGGTGATCATTACCTTCCAGACCTGTGTCCATCCTAAGCCTATATCCACACTTCTATAGCTACCTCCTTCCCAGATGATACAAAATTCTATCCAATGCCACTCCCATTCCTGAGTGACCATGCAATATTTTTGTTTTACCTGTTACAAGAAAAGAATCTAGCTCTTCTAATATAGGTTCCAAAAGTCAATGATATTTTTGTTTGAGGGTTTATCAGACTTTTTTTTTGGGGGGGGAGTTCAACTTACAATTTGAACAAGGCTATTCTGTCATTTTGTCAATCTTCCTTCTTCCTTCCTTGTCTATTAAATTTTATCTAGTTTGTTTTGGTTCATTGTTCTAAGCCAGTCAAGATCTTCTTGAATCTTTTCCAGCATACAGTGCCTTCCCAGAACTGGGTTATATACAAATCTGCTAAGTTTGCTAGCTATGTACAAGATACTCCAATTCCTAACTCCAGGCATTTTTACTGGCTGTCTCATACCCAGAATTTTCTTTCTCATCTCTATTTCCTTCCCTCCCTGGTTTCCTTCAAATCCCAGCTAAAATCCCCCCCCTTTTTTTTTTACAAAGAAGCCTTTCCTGATCCCCCTTAACACTAGGTGCCTTCCCTTTCTTGATTATTTCCAATTCAGCATACATACATGCAAACATATATGTGTATATATATACATACATACATATATACACACACATACATACATATTGTTGGCATGTTGTCTCTCCTACTGGAATATGAACTCTTTGAGAGCTGGCCCTTTTTCTTTGGACTTTCTCGTATCCCCAGTATTTAGCACAGTGCCTGGCACACAGCAGGTACTTGATAAATACTTGACTGCCATAGTTATGCCTTTAATCAAAATAACCGATAAAAATGCTAAACAGCATAGGGCAAGGTACAGACCTCTAGAGAACTCTTTTCAAGTGGACATAAAAACAATTAATGACTGCCTTTTGGATCTGGTCATGAAACTTCCACTTACTCTGTGTACTAACATACAGCCCATATCTATCTTGTTCATCAGATTGCCATAAAAGACTTAAATGCTTTGCTAAAATCTAAGTAAACCTCTATCTACAGAATTCTTTTGATCTATCAACTTTGTTAAAAAAAAACAAAAACCGAGGTTAGTTTGGTATGAGTTGTTCTTGTTGAAGGCATGTTGGGGTCTTTGTAATCCTTGCTTCCTTTTCTGGTGTTAACCAAGAAGTTCTTTATGATACATGACAGAATTTTGCCAGGAATCCAAATCAAGCTCACTGGCCTATAATTTGCACACTCCATTCTTTTCTCTGTTTTGAAAATCAAGACTTTTTTTCATCCCTAAAGTAATTTTACTTTTCCTCTATAATTTTTTGATCATAGCTCATGGATTTGGAACTGGCTAGGACCTTCAGAGATTCTGTAGTCCAAATTCCTCATTTTTACCAATGTGGAAAGTGATTCCCATAAAGATGAAGTAACTAGTCCAATGTCACATACATAACAAATCTGACTCCAGATCCAACAGCCTTTCTACTTTGAAATACTACAGAAAAGGCATCTAAAGGCATACTTATTAAATATTTCTACTTTTCTTGGTTATCATCTTCCTATATGCCATTTTTTCCTGTTTTTTCCAGTCTAAAAACATTTTCCTTAATAAAGAAAAGAGAAGCAAAAATAAGAAAAACAATTGCGCCTCCTTCTATAGTCTGGTATAGTTATTCCATGAAGGTATCCCATATCTTAGCTACATAAATGTAGTTTACTTGAAGGGACTTAGTTTTCTTTCTTGTTCTAGAGTAACACTAATAACACTTCAAATATACAGAACACAACATACAGAAAAATGTTTTAGTGTAAAAGGGTTAAAAGGAGGAAAGGCAATGATAGAACTAGCTTCAGAATCCAAAGCCAAATCCCTCTAAGTGCAGCAGGAAACTGCCTAAGACCATCAGTCACATAGAAGGTGTTGATCTGCATCAGTGGAGAAAATTCCTCACTGGGAGTGCTCCATAACAAGGAAATCAAAGGTCTGGTTTAAGAAAAAAAAATAAACCAGGAGGGGCTCAGGGTTAATTAACACAGTGACTCACTGACTCACTGATAAGTTAAACATGGAAAGCAAATTTTGGAAAATGTATTTAAAGCAGAGAGGTCCAACAGGATTTTGATGTGTGCGAGTCTTTTATGGTTCGGTTACCATATTAACTATAATCACATGCTTGGTGCTAGGAACACATGCATTCTCTTTAAACAGAATAATGAATAAAGGAGAGGGGAGAGAGAAGACAGGGGCTTAAATTCCAGACAGACATATTTATTAAGGAAATACTTATGTTTGTCCAGCAAACTCCCTCTTTGTTAAAGAACTAATTTCTGTCAATAGCTAAATACTAACTTGCTGAACAACAATTATTCATTTTGCTGAATGCTATGGAAAGTAACTAGGGCAGCTAGGTGGTGCAATAGAGAGAGCGATGGGCCTAGAGTCAGGAAGACCTGAGTTCCAATCTGATCTCAGATACTTACTAGGTGACTCCGGGGAAGTCACTCAATCCTGTTTGCCTCAGTTTCCTCATCTGCAAAATGAGCTGCAGAAGGAAATGACAAACCATTCCAATATCTTTGCCAAGAAAACCCCAAATAGGGTCACAAAGAGTAGGCCATGCCTGAAACAACTGAACAATAAAAAGAAAATAAGAAAATATAAGAGAGTCAGGGAAACATGAGCTCAAGTCCCAACTCGGACACCTAGCAGTTTGACTGAGGGACTCTGGGCAAGTCATTTAACCTCTTAATACCCACAACAACTTTTTAAGACTCTATGTAGTAGAGAGGGTGCTGATCTGTACTGGGAGAGGAAGTTCCTCACCAGGAACTCCTGGCACTGATGAAATCTGGTCAAAATAAAACAGGAGAAAGAGAAATAGTCCCTTGTCAGCTGCTTCCTTTCTGATCCATGAGATATAAAATTAATTATATACTGCCTTGCCAATTCTACAAGATTATTTTATATTGTTATTTATACTTATATCTGTAAACATCTTGCGCCTGTAGAAGATAATAAAATATTTGCTAAATTACAGCTTCTTTGCATAGCTCCTACAATGCAGCATTATCTAGGTGGACAGATGAAGGAGAGGTACTTAAACTTAGCAAAGTTACTTTGGTCTCTTTTTTCTCTATAATGTTACAAAAGAAGGTATAGGTTCCCAGCTACATTCTAACAGCTGATTAGTGGACATTATGAATGGGCCCATAAGCTTACCTGTCAGACATTTTTAGCTGTGCCAATCTAAAAGAACAGTTTTGTAAATAACAAGATTCAAGGAGGTACTCAGGAATGAAACTTGAAATTCATTAGTAAAATGACTTGTGCTAGAGGAACACTTGACACAACTGTTCAGTCATTTTTCAGCTGTGTCTGACTTCATGATTCCATTTGGGGTTTTCCTAGCAAAGATACATGAGTGGTTTGCCATTTCCCTCTCTAGCTTATTTCACAAATGAGGAAACTGAGGCAAACATGCTTAAGTGACTTGCCCAGGGTCACACAGCTAGTAAGTGTCTGAAGCCAGATTTGAACTTAGGAAGATGAGTCTTCCTGACTCCAGGTCCAGCACTCTATCCACTTTGCCACATAGCTGCTGAAAGAGACTCTCTTTAACTGAAAAAACTGATGTAGTCTGATTGACTATGGTAAGTGGCTGAATTACATATATATATATATATTTTTTTTTTCTCACATATTTAGTTACTAACTCCATCTCACTACACATTTGACTTACAGATCTGATGGGATGAAAGTAGCAATACTATAAAGCTCTGCTCCTATACTGATATAAGAAGATATGTGAATATATTAAACTTACCACATTAGGATTAAAAGGTGGTGGAATCTTTTTTTGTACAAGGTCATTCCAGTTGAGTGATTCAAAGAAAGGATGATTTTGAATTTCAAGCTGGAATAAAAAGAAAATTTTGTTAATTCTGTAGAACATAAGCAATTACTGAACTAATTCTGGGCAACCCAACTATCTATTCCCAAATTCACCAGATTATCCCGTTTCCTTTTTCCAAACTTCCTTCTAGACAAGAGCTAAGGGAAAAATATACACAGAGGGGTGGAAGTGTAAACATGCTGTCATCAAACTCTGATTCCAAAGAAACACTTCAGGATTACTTACACCAGTATATCAAAAATTGAGGCAGTGAGGGTACCCAGAGATGTCTTCAGCTGATTGTTACAGAGTTAGAATTATTTTGTGGTACCGGGAAAAAAATTAAACTAAAATTGAAGTGAGAAAAAAATCTTTGCCTCAAATATTACTGATAAAAGTTGGATATGCAAGATACAGAGGAAGCTGACACATATATTTCCCAATAAATAAACAGAGAAAGATAGGAAGAGAGTTCAAAAGAAGACTTGCAAACTGTCAATGATGACTAGAAAACAAACTCCAAATAATAGGGAAAAAAGTGTAAATTTAAATAGCAGTGGTGATTTCACTTTACATCAAGAAATTGGCAAAGATAATATTAAAAATTTAAATAGCCAATGTTGGAAAGGCTTTGAAAAGAAAAGAACATTAATTGTATCAGTGGCAGAGCTATAAATTGGTCCAAATGTTCTGAAATGACTAAACTGTTTAAATATTCCAACCCCGTAATTCTACTCCTGGGCATATACCTTCCAAGAAGGGGAAAGAAAAAAAAGGTCCATTATATACAAACATATTTATAGGAAAAGTGAAAAAAAATTCACCCTAAAGACCATGGGTCTTTCCCATATGCCTTATAGGTGAACCTTCCAGATGTGTTTTCTTCACCATTAGAATGTGAGCTCCTGGAGAGCAGGGACAATTTTGCTTCTTTATTTGTATCCCCAGCACTCAGCACTGTGCTTTCACATGGTAAGCACTTAATGCTTCATTAGTTCATTAATTCATAGGATTATATATTTAGAACTGGAAGAGACCTTGAAGATCAAAGAATACAAACACCTTCATTTTACAGATAAGGAAACTGAGGTTGAGAAGTTAGGTGACTTTCTTAGGGTCAAACAGCTAGTAAGTGTCAGAGGCCACATTTGCCTCCAAGCTCTGTCCACTACGCCTCTAACTGTACTTTTGTTGTAGTAAAGACCTGGAAACAAAGTATGTAGCCATCAATTGGGGAAGAAGGGTTGAACAAACTGTAGTCATTTGATATAAAGGAATATTATTGCAGAGTAAGAAATAATGAATATTTAGGAAAATGGAAAATTTCTACCAATTGATACATACTGAAATAAGCAGAATCAGAAAAATAATATACACAGTGACTATCACAATGTCAATGAAAAGAATACTAAAAGCAAGCTGAACTTGGAGAAATATTTATAACCAATCTTGGTTGTAGAGAACAGATCATGAAAAATATCTTCCTCCACCCTCTCCACAGAGGGGGAGGGCCCTATGGAGGAAGAATTTTGAATAAACTATCAGACATGATCACTGTATGAGTTATTTTTTATTCAACTATTCTTCCTTATAAGGGAGGTTTTAATGTGGGGTGGGGAGAAGGTGGTGTATCTAGAAATGACTGTGGTATGAAAACAAATGACATCAATAAAACAAACAAACAAAAGAACAAAACTACCACTTTTCTGCACTTAAGCAAAGGCACTGTTTGCAGGGCAGTACGTATGAGGAATGGAGTCGGAAATTCTAATGTCTCTAGTTTCCAAATGGCATGAAATAGCCTAGAGGTTGTATCCCTATCTTTTTGTCTAGGCATCAGACCAAGTATTAATAAAAAAATTTAAGCACCCAGGGCCTAATTCCAGATGGATTAATGATTTCCTACAAGTTACTGTAAAAGTAACTCACAAGAGCACATTTCTAATTAGTTTGTGAATTTATTAACAGCATTGTAATATAACATGTTTGTTATATTAGTTATTCCTGACACTGGTTTTTAAAATAGAATTTATTTTATTTAAAGCCCAAAGTATTAAAACAGTTCTAGGCACTTAAGGCATTGGGTGAATAATTTTAATAAAAATGTAAAGTGTTGAAACAGAAAAGAGAGGGAGGGTGAATTAGTGGGTAGTGATGAACACCAGTGATATATTTTTAGAAGAGAAAGAAGAAAAGAGAAAAAAGTTCAGAAGGTGAAAAAAGGGCAATTTTACTGCTATTATGTAAAATTTAATATATACTTTGAAAACCCAAACTATGTAAGAGAAAACTGTTTTCAACCCTCTTTTCTGTTCTTTATATATATACTGAAATATTGATGTTTGTTGCTGAATGTTAAGTCATAATAAAAAAAATTTTAAAGAGGGGCACTAAAAAATAAAAAAAAAGAAATAAGGGGCCAATTTCAATGACCCGTTCCTCCATCTGGGTTTAAGTCAAAGTCAAAAGGACATAGAATGGTAAAATAAATGGAAAACATGTTAGTAAATTACTTCCTAACAAACTTTCCAAAACAGAAAACATCTTATCCTGGATAAATGATAGAAGCTTTACACAATGTTTCTGTCCCAACTATATAACAAGTGAAGCTTGCTGTTATAAGCATTTTCCCAACTGGAACGGTTATAAGAAAGTATGGGGTAACAGGTTTCAGAAGTTGCCTCCTCATTATAGAAACTACACAACTATTACTTATTTTTTTAGTAGTCACTAACCTTTGATGTGGGGCATGACTAAATCAAAACACTGGGGAAAACTTTAAATTCTTTAATATAACCATTATCCTGTGGTTAGTGTAATTACTTGTAATGTGTTTACTGATAGAATCTTAATCTGTTGCTAGTAATTTAACAGTTTATAAATGTTTCAAGTATCTACTGGCCCTCTCATATTTAGAAAAGTTACATTTAAGTGGGCTTTTCTTAGTGTATATTGTAGCTTTTTCATATTATACTTTCCTTCAATGAAACAAAATTAGTTCATTTAATAATAACAGTAATAACTGACAATTACATAGAGCTTTTAAGGTTTGTAAAATGCAGTATATAGTTATTCATTTGATTTTCTCAAGAATCCTAGGAGGTAATACACTACAGATACTAACATTCCTCTTTTACATATGAGAAAACTGAGGCTCAGTGACTTGACCAAGATCACACAATTAGTAGGATTTGTCCACTAGAGAAGAGTGGTAAACCATTCCATTATCTTTACCAAGAAAACCTCATGGAAAGTATTAAAATTATAAAAGATATGACACTGAAAGACGATGCCCCTCAGGTCAGAAGGTGTCCAACATGTTACTAGGGAAGAGTGGAGGACAAGTAAGTATAAGTAGTTCCAGAAAGAATGAGGCAGCTGGGCCAAAGCCAAAAGGAAGCTCAGCTGTAGATGTGTTTGGTGACAAAAGCAAAGTCTGATGCTACAAAGATCAATATTGCAAAGGAACCTGGAAAATTCCAATGGATCTATGAACCAAGGTAAGCAAGATGTGGTCAAATAGGAATTAGAAAATTTAAACATCAAAATTTTGGGTGTTAGTGAACTTAAATGGATAGGAATGGGATGAATTTAATTTAGGTGATTATTATATGTACTATTGTGGGTAGGAATCCCTCAGAACAGACCTGCACAACTTTGCCCTAAGTAGGGGCCAAATTAAAATAGGCTTAAGTTTTTCAAGCCACAGATAGATTAGACTAGAGACAGACTGATGATGGTTGCTGTAGGTCATGTAACAAACAGGGTACTGTGTAGTGGCAACTCTACATTTTTCGTGGGCCTCCTGAAATCTTTTGGCAGGCTGCAAGTGGTCTGTGGGCTGTATGTTGTACAGGCCCGCCTTAGAAGAAAGGGCCCTCATGATCAACAAAAGGGTGAGAAAAGCAGTACTGGGGTACAATCTCAAAAATGACAGAATGATATCTGTACAAATCCAAAGGCAACTATTTAACATCACAGTAATACAAGTCTATGCTCTAACCATGGATGCCAAAGAGGCCAAAGTTGCTCAGTTCTATGAAGAACTGCAACACCTATTTTAGAAATAACACCAAAAAAAGATGTCACATTCATTATAGGAGACTGGAATGCTAAAGTAGGAAATCAAAAGATAATTAGAATAATAGGTAAGCTTGTCCCTGGAGTACAAAATGAAACAGGGCAGAGTTTTCTCAAGATAACTCGCTGGTCATAGCAAACACTCTTTTTCAACAACCCAAAAAGCGACTTCACACATGGACATCACCTGATGGTCAATACAGAAATCAGATTGCTTATATACTTTGCGACCAAATGTGGAGAAGTTCTACACAATTAAAACAGGACCTGGAGCTGACTGTGGCTCAGATGACATGCTTCTTATTGCAAAATTAAGACTTAAATTGAAGAAAGTAGGGAAAACTACTAGGCCTATCGTATAGGTATGACCTAACATCCCTTATGAATATGGAGTAGAAGTAATGAATAGATTTAAGGGATTAGATCTAGTAGAGTGTCTGAAGAACAATGGACAGAGGTTTGCAATATTGTACAGGAGTCAGGAACAAAAAAAAATCCCAAAGAAAGACAGCAAGAAAGCAAAAAGGCTATCTGATGAGGCTTTACCAAACAGCTAAAGAAGGAAAACATGTAAAAGAGAAAGTGAAAGATAAGCTCAACTGAATGCAGAATTCCAGAGAATAGCAAGGAGAGATAAGAAGATTTTCTTAAATGAACAATGCAAAGAAATAGGAGAAAATAACAGAATAGGAAAGACAAGAGATTTCGAGAAAATTAGAGATAACAAGGGAATGTTTCATCCAAAAAGGGGCACGATAAAACACAAAAATGGTAGAGATTCAAACAGAAGAGATTAAGAAGAGGTGGCAACAATATACCGAAGAACTATGTAAGAAAGATCTTAACATCACTAATAATCGTGATGGTGTGGTTACTGATTTAGAGTCACACATCCTGGAGAATGAAGTCAAGTGGGCCTTAGGAAGCATTGCTAACAATAAGGCTAGTGGAGATGACAGAATTCCAGTTGAGCTATTTAAAATCCTAAAAGATGACGCCATTAAAATGTTGCACTCAATCAGCAAATTTGGAAAACTCAACAATGGCCACTGGATTGGAAAAGGTCAACTTATGTCCCAATCCTAAAGAAGCAATGCCAAAGAATGTTCAAATTTCCAAACAATTGCACTCCTTTCACATGCCAGCAAGGTCAAACCTAAGATTCTGGAAGCTAGGCCTCAGCAATATGTGAACTGAAAATTACCAGAAGTGCAGACTGGTTTTTGAAAAGACAGAGGAACTAGAGACCAAATTGCCAACATTTGCTGGATTTTGGAAAAAGCAAGGGAGTTCCAGAAAAACATCTACTACTGTTTCATCAATTGCACTGAAGCCCTTGACTGTGGATCACAACAAGCAAGTTCTCAAAGAAATGTGAGTTCCAGACTGTCTTACTTATCTCCTGAGGAACCTGTATGTGGGTTAATGGCAAACTACTCCAGTGGAACAGAATATGGAACAACTGATTGGTTTAAGAATGGAAAAGGAGTATGACAAGGCTGCATACTGTCACTTTATTTAATTTATACGCAGAGCACATCATGCAAAATGTCAGACTGGATGAATCAAAATCCAGAGTTAAGTTTGCTGGGAGATATCAACACTCTCAGGTATGCAGATGATATCATTCTGATGGCAGAAAGTGGAGAAGAATTAAGAAGCCTCTTGATTAAGGTAAAAGAGGAGAATGTAAAAGCTGGCTTGAAGCTTAACATTAAAAAAATCAAGATCATGGCAACTGGTCCCATCACTTCCTGGCAAATAGAGGGAGATGAAATGGAAGCAGTGTCAAATTTTATATTCTTGTGCTCAAAAACCATTGCAGATGGTGACTGCAATCTTGCAATCAAAAGACACCTGCTCCTCGGGAAGGAAAACCATGGTAAATTTGGGCAGCATATTAAAAAGCAGAGATATCACCTTGCTGACAAAGGTCTGTTATAGTCAAAGCTATGGTTTTTCCAGTGGTAATATATGGCTTTAAGAGCTAGACTGTAAGGAAAGCTAAGTGCTGCAGAATCAAAGCTTTTGAACTGTGGTACTACAGAAGACTTCTGAAAGTCCCTTGGACAGCAAGATCAAATCAGTCAATACTTAAAAGAAATTAATTCAGGCTATTCACTGGAAGGTCAAATACTAAAGCTGAAGCTTAAATATTTTGGCCACATAATTAGAAGATGGGACTTATTAGAAAAGACTGATGTTGTTAAAGATTTAAGGCAAAAGGAAAAGGAAACAGTAGAGGATGAGATAGACAGACAGTGTCATGAAAGCAATAAACACGAGCATAGACAGACTTTAAGAGATAGTGGAAGACAGAAAGGCCTGGAGTGATACAGCCCATGAGGTCATGAAGAGTCAGACATGACTCAACAACAACAACAATAATGGATTTGTGCTCAGGTATCTCTTAACAACGGCAGCTAGGTGGCAAAGTGGATTGAGGGCCTGGAGTCAGGAAGAACTGAATTCAAATGTAGCTTCAGACATTACTAACTATGTGACCTTGGACAAGTCACTTAACTCCATTTGCCTTAGTTTCCCCATCTGTAAAATAAGCTGGAGAAGGAAATGACAAACCACTCCAGTATCTTTGCAAGAAAACCTCAAATGAGGTCACAAAGAGTCAGACTGAAACAAGTGAACAACAACTTTGTTAACTCCCAAAGTTCTTCTGTCCCCTCAAGAGAGAATCATCACATAAAACACTGGAGAAATTTCCTGAGACTTTTTTTTTTTTTACATGACCAATGTGAGAATTTGTTTTTCTTAACTACACAAGTTTGTAGTGTGGGATTTTCTTTTTTTCTTTCTCAATGGTTGGGAGAAGGTGGGGTCAGGGCAGGGGACACAAAGGTGAGAGGAGGATAGTGTTTTTTGTCTGGAAAAACAAAATTTAATTTAAAAAAAGTTGGGAGAAGATATATGACTTGTAAGACACTTCGGCTTTCTGGTTACACTTCTTTAATAGATTATTTCAAGATACCAATTTTTTTTTTTGCAATTTCAAGGATATGTTTCTATACAGTCATTATCTGCATACATATAAACATATTATGTCTACACACATATTATGTGTGTGTGTGTATATATATATATGTGTGTGTGTGTATGTGTGTAAATGTGAATCCTGGATATCACAAATAATAAAATATAAAAATTAGAAGACATCTTCCTTAGCCATTAATAAATATACATCTAAGTTCTTTTAATAATCTTCTTAAAATAAGCAAAATTATTATTGAAAATATTACATACAAAGTCTTCTTTGGCACCGAGTCGATTTTGCCTGTCTTTTTCAAGAAGTTCTTCCAGGATGGACCAGGCTGTGAGGCTCACTCCTGGCCTCAAATTTAGGGGTTTATGGAGTATGTTTTCATACATCTCGGCAACATCTCGACAATAAAATGGAGGCTACACAAAGGCAAAAGGAAAAACATTTGAGTAATAGCCGAGGTCACCAAAAGTAGGCTGAGATTCTGCAGCTAAAAATACCTGGGCCCCAACTATCCCATTTCTAGTTAAGCCTAGAACCTCCATCTGAGTTCTCACCCATCCCTCCACAGTGGGTACTATAAGAAATTTGGGGAATGGCTTGGTCATTCACAAAACACAGGGCTTTCTGGGCCTCTATAAATTCAATCACAAAACTGAAGTAAAGAGTCTTGATAACACAGCTAATCATTTATTTATTCTTGTCTGACTGACTGGTGATAAATTCTAGAATAAAAATAACAAAAACAGATTTCACAATAAATTTCAGCTTCATTACTCTTTAAATACAATAGTTTCTCTGATAATATTCAAAAGGACTGTAAGGTGATCTTCAAAATTTTAGCGTTACAGTAGTTCAGTTTTTAATGCATAGCTACCAGCATTAAACATCTTGATATATGAAATGTAACATTATAAAAAGGAAGAAATGTAAAGACTTACAAATTACATTCATTTCACATGAGTAAAAATATTTTGTTTTTACATAGTTAACTTTAACACTACTATCTCATAAATTATATGAAGCAATGTCAAAAGATTTGATTACTAACATTTTGAGGAGATCAACAGGAAGAATAAATACTACTTCATTTTGGCTCTGGCTAAGTGTTTCTTGATACTGAACCACCTCTTCTTTTGGTTAATTGTATTGATAAGATTATTGAGATTGAACAATTAAACGAAGTGCTGACCATTTCTACCAAACATGGGACTTAAGTTAAAGAAAAGGTTAAAAAGTTAGAAAGTCAAGAAATTTCCCATGGGAGTGAAGTGAAGATAGAATTTCTGACCAGTTCTGATAGCAATGATAAAGATTCCTTAAAAAATGGGAATACTAATTCAGATATAGGAATTAATTTGAGTTTATCAGTAAAAAAATTATAATGTTGAATGCTAAAATTTACTTTAACATTTAGCATTTAGGGAATTAATTAGTTGAAAAAGGAAAAAGGAAAAGAGTTAAAGTTATGAGAATTTCTTTGAGTTTTACCTTTACTCTTCTTAAAATAAGCAAAATTATTATTGAAAATATTACATACAAAGTCTTCTTTGGCACCGAGTCCATTTTGCCTGTCTTTTATCTTTTATATTATATTTAACCATGGAGTTAAATGTGTTTTAAAATAACAAAAAATAGAATTTACATATGAAATTAGAAAGTATTCTCTAATAGAAGAATCTGATAAGGGATGATCTAGGTAAAGGGTCTGATTCCAAATTTCATAAGTTAATCAAATAAGTATACTAGAATAAATAAATGATTAGCTGTGTTATCAAGACTCTTTACTTCAGTTTTGTAGTTGAATTTACAGAGGCCCAGAAAGCCCTGTGTTTTGTGAATGACCAAGCCACTCCCCAAATTTCTTATAGTACCCACTCTGGAGGGATGGGTGAGAAATGAATTTCCAAGTATGATTTCTTGGTGTTTTATGTAAATTGTTCTAACAAGCTTGCCTATATATTTTCATTTGGGCAACTATATTATGTGTTCAAAAAACACATAATGTTTTCTACTGTATATTTCTTACTTTACAGTCAACATTATTATTTTACATTTCTCATCTTTTTTTCCTTCAAAGAGTTTAAAATATTTCATATTGTGAACTACTAGTAATGGGGAAACTAAAGTGGAGAATTAAGTTGTTTATCAATGTATGGAAATTATTAGTACAACTAAGGAACTATAACTGTTGGGCAGGGTCACCCCTTAAAGCAGGAGAAAGTCAGAGCAAGACTGTCTTCCTTATTATCACATCCTCTTAGATTAAAAACTTCTTATTTTTAAGTGTATACTTGGAGCCACTGGGAAGTAACAATGGTATTATAAAAGAAAAATATGTATCAATAAAACATTAAAAGAAAAAAATCTGTGTGTAGCAGAAACCAGTATTATCAATTGACAACAGATATGGTAGCATTGCTCCTGGAAGAGGAAGTTCTTCCTCCTGGTGGTATCCAATGAGTGCCTTTATTCATTACAAAAGCATTTATTAAGGGTTTATTGTATATTCAACATTGTAGTTAAGAGACAGAACAGTACCATGGCATTATCTTTCTAATCCTTCAGTATCAGAAACTCCAAAAGACTCTCGTTGACATCTTTTTTTGTCCCCTTTGGGACCACTACTGCAAGCTGCCTATAGGGGATATCTGGGAAGGAGGAGAGTTAGGGAGAAACTCCTCCACAACCAACTTCCAAGTATCCTTTCTGAGGATAAGCTAACTCTTTTAATCCTGGGGAAATCTAGGAAAGATAAAAATGTAAAGCCTATTACCATCTTGTGGCAATATAGGTAAAATTCTATTGAACTTTTAATTTCAGGATACATATTCAGGGACAGAAGTTTAAAAAAAAAAAAAGATGCTTAAGTTATTTATAAGAAGTCTAAAGAGAATCCTTAGTTATTGGAGATCTCTTAGAACCTAAGCCCTTGTGTTACCCCACCCCTTCTGGTATCTTCCAATTTCCTTCTTATGAAAAAGACTTCTATATTCCTACTAATAAGTAGGGCTATCTAGGCTGAGTACACAAGATTACAGTCCCTCTGTTATTCTGCTGGTACTAGGTCTCAAGCACATCTGATAATCCTGTGACATACATAATGAGTAGTTAGATTACTTATGTTTTTATATTCAAGATCTTAAATTTGACAAATCCTCAGGTGCTAAGGAGGCTGGGAAACCATGGAGTTAAATGTGTTTTAAAATAACAAAAAATAGAATTTACATATGAAATTACAAAGTATTCTCTAATAGAAGAATCTGATAAGGGATGATCTAGGTAAAGGGTATGATTCTTCCAAATTTCGTAAGTTAATCAAATAAGTATACTGTATTTCAATATCCATTTCCACTAAAAACAGTAATGGGAATAACCAAGATGACTGTGAAATAAACATAATCAAAAAAGTAGAATTAGACTTGATGACTAAAACAAAAAATTAAACTTTTGTTTTCCTGTGTATTGTTAATTTGTCATTCAGTCTGGCTGCCTTTCTATGTCTGCCAACCCCCATCCCAACCCCTTAAAAACCCACCTGCCAAAAATACTAGCAGTTTACAACAAAAAATCAGCCACAATTATTTAAAATTGATAGAGGAGAATAAAGAATACATACCAACCCATACAGCATTTCATACAGAACGGCACCAAGGCACCACCAATCTACAGTATTGTCATAGGGCTGTTTTCTGATCACTTCTGGTGCAAGGTACTACATAGAAGATTAAACATTAAAGATTAATTACTTAAGCAAGTGTCATTAATGCAAAGTTAGTAAAAATACTTCAGAAATGAAAACTAGTATGGCTCGATTATTCTATCATTAAAAAAAATAGGCTTTTCTACTCTACCATAACCGATCTACTACTTTCATTTCTTGGATATTTATACTATTATAGAAGACGACACAAACTTTTGCTGGAATATAAGCTACTTTTCAATTTTTAGAAGCCCAGCAATTATCAGAGCATATATATATTGGGGAACAAATAGGGGTAGTGATTGTTTAAAAGCTGCTGATATTTAGCAGTGAGCAGGAATCTGGTGTGGAAGTTGAGTTGAGAAGATATGATACCACAAGTCTCTGGAGGAGAAGTATGAGAATGGGGAAGAGGGTTGGTCCTGGTACTCTTCTTCCCCATGGAAATGACCTTGAGCTTCAGAGAGGAAGGCTATTGGCCATGAAGGTCTACCAGGTCTTCAAAATCAACTAGTCTACATGATTCACTAGTTGGGAAAGCCTTATATTAGATCTTTAGGCTCACCACCTAATGAATTTCACATGAAACTTAAGGCCATCTGATCATTTTAGTGAACTTAATAGGACCATAATCAATTATCAGATAAAAGACCCAGAAGAAAACAGCACACCATTAAATAAATTTGTTTATCTATGTTTATTTGTTACAAGATGTGTATTTTTTAAAAATAGTGTGTGTGTGTATATGCGTGTGTGTGTGTGTGTGTGTGTGTGTGTGTAGGGAAGACATACATAAACAGAAAAAATTGTGAAACAAACACATGTTGAATTTATTACATGTTTTAACATTAAGGTACCTGAGACCTGTGGTTTCATATGTAATCCTTTTTCTATTCTTTGTATGAAGAAATGTTTGTGCTTGTAAAGTTCAGAACAAATACAAAAATTACATTAAAAAAGACTAAGTAAGCAGTGAAAAAACATTTTGGGCAAGTCTTAGAGGATATTTTTTCCTATTTTACTTAGATCTAGAAACTCAGAATTAATCATATCTTTCTTCCTTGGAGAAAGCATGGATTTCATTCAGCAACTACACATCAAGGATCTATGATTTATTCAGCATGAATACTCTCTTCACTACTAAAGCAGACTGCATCCTTTTTAAGCCGTAGTAGTTGGTGCATTGATTGTTTTTGTTTTAAAAAATGCATCACCAAATTTTTGGTAAAGATTCCCTAAATGTGTGGTGTTCTCTGAACAACATAGCATTAGACTAAGTTTATATACACGGATCAATCAGGGCTTGTGGTCAGCTAGCATAGATATTTTCCCACAGCGCATTAAAAGACTTTAGTTGTTATTGTGCTGTAAGAAATGATGAACAGGCTGACTTCAGAAAAACCTGGAAAGACCTGTATGGTCTGATGCTGAGTGAAGTGAGCAGAACCAAGAGAACACTGTACACAATAACAGCCACTTTGTGTGATGATAATATTGATAAACTTAACCCTTCCCGGCAATACAAGGATCGAAGACATCTCCAGAGCTCTTGTGATGGAAAATGCCATCCACATCCAAAGAAATAACTATTCAAGTTGAATTGCTATTTTTTTCTCTTCTGTTGAGTTTTGTTTCCTTTTTCTGATGGTTCCTCCTATTGGTTTTAATTTTTACTTACAACATCACTAATGTGAAAATACGTTTAATATGAATGTAAATGTATAGCCAATATCAGATTGTGTGCCGTCTTGGGGAGGGGGAGAAAAATTTTAAACTCAAAAGCATATGGAAGTGATTATTGATAAATCAAAATAAATTAATAAAAAAAGACTTTAGTTGGAAACTATAATCCTTTTCTTTAGGGAAAGTCAACCAAATTTACAATGTTTGATTCTTAGTAATTAATAGCAGCTATTTTCCAAAAATATTTAGAGATCAATTACTCATTAGAGTAACCATTATTTACATTTAAAGTATCAAAATAGTAAAACAAATTATAGCTTCTTACGGATCATATAGTAGTATATTTAGTATAAAGCATAGTCTCCTTCCATGTTAAATATACATTGTTTTTTTGGGGGGAGGGGGAGAACTCAAAACACTTCCATTTGCGAGTGCTGTGTGATACAGAAAATAGCATTTAGTAACTTCAGATCATAAAATTAATACAGGTTTCAAAGGAAAAAATGTTTTATCTCCCTCCAAAAAAAAAGGCTTTAAAAAAAAACATTGCTATCCTAGAAAACTACAAATAAATTAGATTATTCTCTCATGGATGTATCCAGCAAGGATGGCTGAAAACATACTTAAGAATTAGGTGAAAGATTAGAAGTTTAATTGAATTCAAGTATTTATTAAGTACTGACTATGGGTAAAATGGAAGAGTGTATAGAGAACCAGCCTTTAAGTAAGGAAGACCTGAGTTCAAGTCCTGGGAGTTCTCATTTTGGGATTTCTTTCAGGAGGTGATTGGTAGTGAATTCTTTCAATTTCTACTTTACTCTCTTGCTCTAAGATATCTGGGCAGTTTTCCTTTATAATTTCTTGAAATATGATGTCTAAGATCTTTTTTTTTTAATCATGGCTTTTAGGTAGTCCAGTAATTCTTAAATTATCTAGCTCTTTTTTTCCTATGAGATAGTGCACATTTTCTTCTTTTTTTTTCCAGCTGTTTGACTGTTTTATTGTTTTTTTTTTTTCTCATGGAGTCATTTAAGTATTTAAGTATATGTTGAAATAGTAAAAAAGGTTCTATTCTGGACTATGGACTTGCAGATTCTATTTCATTCACCACATGTTTTCAACATTTTAACTACAATAATTCTGGAAGGCACTATTAATTAGGATTATAATTAGCTTTAAAGAGTCACCATTAGCTTTGCTCTTTATTCCTCAAATTCAATTGGTTGCCAAATCCTGTTGATTCTATCACCTCAATCTTTTTTTTTTTTACTTCCATCAACCTCCTTTTCTATGTTACTGCAATCAACAGATCTCTCTTATGCACCTTCTGTCCCTCTTTTCTACAGCCTTCTTTACTTCAGCCTAAAACACCCACAACCACATGCCTACTCCCTTAACCAACCCAGTTACTGAAGCTACTGGGCTACATAACAGACCCTGCTTATGGCCTTAACTATTCTCTATTCCTTTAACCCTTGGATTTTGGTTCATAGTTCTTTAATTCTAACCACTTTACTGATAACCTTTTTCCCAAGGTAACAATAGTAAGAATGAATGAATTAATAAGCACTATTAAGCTGACTACGTGCCAGAACTGTGTTACTATAATAGCTTCAGTTGAGGAATGTCTGAATAAGTTGTGGTAAATGAATGTGATGGAGTATTTCTGTACTGTAAGAAATGAGAAAATAGATGATTTCAAAGTAACAAAAAAACAAAGACATGGAAAGACTTGTATGAACTGAAGCAGTGTGAAATAAGTAGTTATAAAAACAATTTTTAAGACTTAAAAACTTATGAAAAATGAAATGTGTAGGACCAGGTGATTAATTTTACACAATAGCACTGTAATAACAAACAAACTCTGAAAGCTGTAAGAACTATGATAAATAAAATGGCCATCCATGATTGCAGAGGACCAAAAGATGAAACATACTCTCTCTGCCTCTTCACTGAGAGTTTATGATTCAGGACAGAATGAGACAAATACATTTTTGTATACAGCAAATGAGAGAATTTGTTTTGCTTGACTATGCATATTTGTTACAAGGAATTCTTTTCTTTTTTAATGAGGTAGGGAGAGAAAATAGATGTATTCATTTTACAATACAATTTAAAAAGAGGTGGTGGGTGCTACATATGTGGGATATAGCATGTACTTTTGGATGAGGTCACTGTATTGTTAGTGTTACTTAAACGTTTTACATGTTACAAGAGACCTCTTATGAAGTGGGGGTAATCTGTAAATGTTTATAGGTAAAACACATCAATAAAATGTTAAAAAACACTATAATACCTTTCTTAATTCATCTTTCTAATTCCAATCAATCCTTTCTCCAATTTGTCTTCTATACTACTGCCCGAGTAATCTTCCTACTACACTATTACATTCACATTTTTCTTCTCAAAAACTTTCAATGGCTCCCTTACACTTACAAAATAAAATACAGTCTGACCAAGGTAGGCATTCAAGCTCCCCACAATCTGAATCCAACATACCTATCTAGATTTGTTCCTTGGAGTCAATATTCCTGCCACACCAAATGACAAGTTTTTGCCCTTTATAGTTTTGATGGTTCAAGACACCATGTATCTCCATCTGTTGATAATCATTCCCTCAATACCCAACTTCAGGTGTCCCCAACTTTCACCAAACCCCCTGACTCTCCCCTTCAGGTAAAAATGATTTCTTCAAATTTTTCATGATTTTTTTGGGGCTTTCTTTTGTCATATACAGTGTTTTTTCCTCGAGATAATTATTTATATACATGGGTTAGTCAATCAACAAGCATATATGTAAGCTTCATACTGGCCTCTCTGTTTTCTTGATGTTCTCTTAGAATTCCTTGCTGTTCAGTCGTGTCTGACTCTTTGTGACTTCCATTTTGGGGTTTTCTTTGCAAAGATACTGAAGTCTCCAGCTCTTTTTACAGATGAGCAAGTTGAGGCAAATAGGGTTAAGTGACTTGCCCAGGGTCACACAGCTAGTAAGTGTCGGAGGCCAGATTTGAACTCAGGAAGATGAGTCTAGCCACCCTCCAAAGTAAATTTATTGTCGTTCAATTGTTTCACTTGTGCCTGATTCTTCATGACCCCATTTGGAGTTTTCTTGGCAAAGATACCGGAGTGGTTTGCCATTTCCTTTTCCAGCTCATTTTCCAGATGAAGAAACTGAAATTAAGTGACTTGCCCAGGGCCACACATTCATTAAAAGTCTGAGGCTGGATCTGAGCTCAGGTCTTCCTAACTCTAGGCCTGGTGCTCTATCCACTGTGCCACCTAGCTGCCCTACTAAGTACAAAAATATGTATAAACATGTGGTCTCTTCTGATAAAACATAAGCTTGTATTCACATTTCACTCTACTCATACAGCTCTCACACCTTAGTTCAGGCCCTCATTACCTCTCACCTTTATTATCGCAGCAGCTTCCTAACCGGGATCCCTGCCTGCAGCTTGTCCCCTGTCTGATTCATCCCTCATAAAGCTGCCAACTGATATTCCTGAAGCAGTTTTGGCCAGGTCACTGTCCTGCTCATAGCATTCCAGAGGCTTCTTCTGGACAATAAGCTGTTTGCTAATTAAAGCTCCAGGCTACCTTTTCAGGATATTACACCTTACTTTCCTTTATATAATTTCAGTGCTTTCCCTCTTTTAATTATTTCCTATTTATCCAGCACATAGATTGCTTTTTGCATGCAGTCAATCTTCAACATTCATGTGTTTAACTTTCTCAACTGCAAATATTCATGTGATTTTATTAGTAACCTCATCATCACTTTACATTGGCAACCTCACACATTCATGTCTATGTGCAGTAGGAAAAAAAAAAAGAGGCACGATGCATGCAAATTTGTGGCCACTATCCCATTAGGCACTTCAGTGGTTTTCTTCATGCTACTGTTGGAAAGGGCTCCCCATGCATTCACTACACATTTGCATTGTTTGCTTTTAAAACTCAAGTTCTGTGTTACAATTATGCCACCAAAGAATAGTGCAAGTCCTTTGGGCTCTAAGGTGATGTTGAGACCTTGCCCTCCCTTTAGCAGCGACTAAAATCCCAGCAATTTCTTCCTTGGATTTCAGAGGGTGGACAAGGTAGAGAGGTGTACAGCAGTATAGCACACAGTACAACATCCTCACACTACCATCTAACATAGTGGAAGGTAAGATTCAGGTTAAAAAATGTTTTAGTTCTAAGAATTTTATTTGCTGTACAGTATTTATGGTACCATAGATTTCATGTTATAAAAAGTGAATATTATCTGAAATCAATGTTTTCTTTTTTAATTGAGATGTTGGCACAAAAAGTAATAGAATTCTAGGGAATTACTAGCAAGAAAAAGTTATTGCTGAAACCAATTTTATTCTGTGTACTGCATATTATGGGTTATTCATGATTAATGTATTAATGTATTAGGAAGAGTTCATATTATCAGAATTAATTTTTTGTTATAAAGAACCGTATGCAGAAAAGTGTATATTCAGCAATCTTTGCAAAAGATTATAATTTTTGGTAGTCGTAGGAAACTAACCCCCTATTTCCTATAGGTTCAATATATCAACATTCCTGTTTTTTTACTTCTGTGTTTTCTAGGAATGTTTACTCCACCACCCCAATCCCCTTGGGAAAGTTGAGGACTGATTGTATTTGTTTGTTCTGTCTCCCCCATTAGACCGTAAGCTTCTTGAAGGCAGGGACTGTCTCTTGCCCCTTTTTTGTATCACCAGAGCTTAGCATAGTGTCTGACACATAGTAGGCACTTAATAAATGTTTATTGAATGAATGAATACATCCTATGTTCCAGGCAAACTGATCAACTTGCTATGCTGTGTACATGATAAATATAAAGGAGAGATCCATGCAAAACATCCCTATTTCCAATTCCTGTGCCTTTGAAAAACATCTGGAATGCACTTCCTCCTCACTTCTGCCTTGCAGAATCCCTCAGCTTTCTACAAACTCACTTGGCACCACCAGAATCTTAGACCTCTGAGCTGCTATTGGTCTTCTTCCATTACTCTGTACTTACTTTGTGTATATTTTGCAATTACTTATCTGTGATTATGCTATTTCCCCCAATTAGGCAGCCAGGTAGCACAGCAGCTAGATCACTGGGCCTGAAGGATGGAAAATCTGAGTTCAAATCTAGTCTTACTAGCTCTGTGATGCTGGGCAAGTCACTTAAGCTCTGTTTGTCTCAGTTTCCTCAACTGCAAAATGTGGATAATAATGGCACCTGTTTCCCAGGGTTGTTGTAAGGATAAAAAAATGAGATATTTGTAAAATGATTATTAGCACAGTGCTAGATAGGCACTATATTCATTCACACTTCCTTTCTCCATGCTCACCCCAGCCCCTAACTCCCAACCCAATAGAATGTAGCTCAGCACCTAGAATAGCGCTTATCATTTAATAGAAGCTTACTCTGTAACGCAGAGAGCATAACTACAATGGGCTGGCCATGTTGTTCCAATGTAAAACATACGCTAGTCAAAAGGACTGTTTTTTGAAGAATTCAGACAAGGCAAGTGCTCACATGGTGGTCAGAAGAAGAGATACAAGGACACTCTCAAGGTCTCTCTTAAGAACTTTGAAATCGTTTGTGTGACATGGGAAACACTGGCACAGGACCACTCAGCATGGCGTACCTTCATCAGAGAAGGTACTGTGCTCTATGACCAAAGCAGAACTGAAGTAGCTCAAAAGAAACATGAGATGCACAAATTTAGAGAATCCACCCAAATGTTCGCCTAGACTAATTTATGTCTGACCTGTGGTAGAACATTCTGAGATCATATTGGTCTGGTTGGTCATAGTCAGACACACCGCAACTTGACTCTAGCATAGTGATATCATTTTGGTCTTCTTCTGGAACCAAGGACAACAACCAACCAACCAACCAACCAACCAATAAGGAGCTTAATAAATGCTTGCTATGGTATTCCTGTTCTACCTACCTTTTACCCCTAATGAAAGTAATCAATCCATTCCATCAAATTTTTCACATTGCTTTGCATGGATCTCTTTTTTATGTTTATCAAATTCTGTTTTGAATTTACAGTAAATTGTATATAGTTAATTATCCCCTGTACCAGCCTATAAACTCCATGAAGTCAAATATCTTTATATCCCTAGAACAGGACAAAACAGAGATCTAGATGAGTGTTTGTTGAATTGAATCCTAGACAGTGTATTTTAACTGCATTTTATTTTTATCTTAGAGGAGGAAAAACTATAAAGATTTTGTAACCAAAAAAAAAAAAAAAGATCCATCCCTCTGGGGCAGCTAGGTGACTCAGTGGATAGAGCACCAGCTCTGGAGTCAGGAGGACCCGAGTTCAAATCTGCACTCAGACACATAACACTTACTAGCTGTGTGACTCTGGGCAAGTCACTTAACCTCACCAAAAAAAAAAAAAAATCCATCCCTTTAATCAATTGTTAAGCAGTCCTCTGATTAGCAATCTAGTTAATTATATGTTCAAGTTAATGGAAAAATCAATCAATTTTTAAAGAAAAAGAATATAATTAAATATACTTACAAAAATGTAAAACATACCTTATACTGTTCATAGTGAATTATGTTCACACATAATTAAACATTTTTGATATTCCAAGGACACCCTAGGATCACTTCATGGCCACCATTTCCAAACTATGGTATCTGCACTTTGGTACTCTGCATCATCTTCATCCTCTTTATCCCCTTCCCACATTGGACTTTGTCCCTAGAACCACTCTGGGTTCTGATAGGTAAATAAGGTAAAGCTTTCCTTGCTGGAAACCAGGCATTGATTTCCAGCTCCCATTTCCAAACCATGGCTCCTTGAATTACCCCTCCCATTTCCAAGGTTCCTTTAGGTGTTGTTTTCATTAGAACACGGGCTCCTGGATGGCAGGAACTGTTTTGCTTGTTTGTATTTGTATCCCCTGTATTTAAGGTTTTGCAAATGTTGATCATTTGCGCCTCACAACAGCCCTAGCACATAATTAAGAGCTTAATAAATGCTTTATCATCTGTCCATTCCCTGATCATCATTATGATGAAACTACCACAATACTATATATGCAAAAGTGCTGGTTGACTGCCAACTGATGCAAAGGGAAGTAAGCAGGAGAAGGAAAGCCACATATACAATGACTACAACAATGTAAATATAAATAGCAATAACAAATCAGTTGACTATGGGGACTATGACCACGGAACGCTATAGATTTTTTTGATATATTGGTCAATTTTGCTAAGTTTTTTTTTCCCTTTATTTTATTCTTTGTTAAAAGGGACGGTTCACTG